GCCATTTGATAGCTAGCAGATGAGGGTACAAGATGGGTCGACATTACTCAAGATTTCCAATGACCCATCGCTGAAGATGCACTATTTGGACGAAAGTGTGAGCGGGAGAATCCGGGCGTTGGCCGAGTTGACCGGGGGTCACGACAACTTCCGAAACCGCAGATGTAAACAGTTTAATTACATTAATAATTATTAATGACCGGGCATCGGAGTGAGAAGAAACCTCAGGCTGAAGGGACTGCCTGCAGTCCTCACATCGCGACTTGCGCCTCCATCACCGTTCGATCGAAATCAGAACTTCAAACTTTGGGCCTACAGTCAACTTGAAATATCAAGAGAGATACTGGTGACTTCTAACAATGGCGGAACATATTGAACTGGCTACGTGGCTACCATCATCCTCAGGCCCGACACGCTAACGTTACACTCACCTGCGCGCCCACTGTCAGACACCACAGTACTCGAGTATAGTGTCGTAACCCCCACCCGAGAACGAACTCAATCCTACGCGTATTTACCAATCGTATCATGACCAAGACAGCGTTTCGAATTACTCGTAGCTGGAGGCGATGCTCAAGCGATGCTTCCCCATCTTTGCATCAAGGTCCTTTATGCTGAGTTGCCAAAGTGACCCCGGATTCCCACTCGTTGATAAAACAGAGGTCACTGGTCGACGGATGCTACAGCTGTGCTGCCCATACGTCTGCCTATACCCATCACTGCTCACCCAGGCTGCGCCTGTCCTCTATCCTATCTTTCCTTCAATACACTCCTTTTGCACTCATCCGTCGACGACTCTCACCTACGAATCATGCGCCTCGGTATCCTTCTCGTATCACTGTTTCCGCTCCTCGTAACCGCAAGTCCGCTGTTGGACCGCGCGGACGACTCGACGTCCGACGGGCAGCCGACACCTGTATCCACGCAAGACATCTCCGACAATTTCGTCCGACCTGCGCAGTTTGCGCGCATCGCGTACTGCTCGAGCGATGCCATCCAGAAATGGGACTGTGGTGAACCGTGCCAGGTGCTCGAGATGGACCATTTCACCCCACTCGCCGTGGGAGGCGGTGCGTTGCGCTCCGCTCTCTTGTATCATGGCTACTGACGCGTGATGCAGATGGTGGAAAAACGCCACGATGTGAGTGCAGTGGGTGAGTTGGGCTGATGGTCGTGCTCATCATGATGTCAGTCTTTGTTGGCTACGATAACAAGACGGCGAGCATCGTTGTCGCGCACCAGGGTACCGACAGTTCCAACATGTGAGTATCATCAGCTTGGTGTTGCGTGCCACATCCCATGATCATACTCCACAGCCTTTCCGTCATCAACGATGCCGAATTCATCCTCTCTGGCATTAATACCACTCTCTTCCCCAAAGCCAGCAGTATGCCCGCATCCCCACATTATATCTAATGCCGCTGATTGTGCGCATACAACAGGCGACGTGAAGGTGCACGATGGTTTCAGCGAGACGCATGGGCGCTCTGCGGACGTCGTGCTCTCGACAGTGCGATCCGCACTGCAGACCACAGGGGCGCAGAAGGTCGCTGTGACTGGGCACAGCCTTGGGGCAGCGATTGCAACGATGGACGCACTCATGCTGCGGCAGAACCTCGACCCGGGGGTTGCGATCAACACGGTGGTCTTCGGGTTGCCGCGGGGCGGCAACGCAGCGTACGCGGACCTCGTTGACGCAGAGGTGCGCCTTCTCCTGTTCCCGCTTCCCACATTTGGTGGTGGTTGCTGACAGGCGCCTCCGCACAGTTGGGTGGCCAGTTCACGTTCGTCACGCACGGGAACGATCCTGTCCCCGTTGTGCCGCCGCGCTTTGTGGGATATCAGCACCCGTCGGGGGAGGTGCATATCCCACCGGGTCCCACCGGCGAGGCAAACACTGTCGAGTGCCCTGGGCAGGAGAACCAGCACTGCCAGGATGGCAATTCGCTACTGGACACGAGCATCGATGACCATCTCGGGCCATACTTCGCCAACGTGTCCATGGGCGAAAGCTTCTGCCCTCTGTGAAGGACGCAGTGGAGGGTGGGCTTGATCGCCGGCGTGCGACGACGAGATATTTCTTTTGGGCTACTATTGCGATAAGGGACTTTGCTGGTCTTTCGTTATGTACGCGAGTATAATACGGGTGGATGGAGATAGTACAGGAAACGTTTGGGCGGCCTGCAGCACGCGAACATGTGTGTATCTTACTCAAGTCAACGTGAACACCGGGGGCGGATAGCAAATGATACCTCTGACATCACCTTCGCACATGCATCCTTCGAAGGGAAATTTGGAGGTGGAACGGTAGCAAAGCTACTGGACCATTGATATCAGAAGAGGCTACACCAACAGATGAAAAGGATGCAATCTACGTACCGTTCGTCAACATGCACGCCAATACCAGGTGTCACTCAGAATCCACCCCATCCGCCGCTTGAACATGCATGGGAAACGATGTCCAAGGTCTGTTTCACAGCGACACGCAGTTCTCCGCCTCGTCTGATAAAGCTACATTGACCGGCGTTCGCTGGGACAATACGCCCGACATCATGTGACATCTCAAGTCCATCATGCCTGCAATAGCGCCGACTTCTGGCACCGTGGGACGTATCACATTGATCGACACGGTGAATCATGTTTGCGCATCCGCGCCTCTTCTGCGCAAGATGGTCTGGGGCTCAGCGATCCCGGGGAATTTGTGACAGAAACAGCCAAGCCACGCGGCGCAAATTAGGGCCATTTGCACATGGCGAGCCCAACGAGTCAATCTGGCATAGTCGCTAATCTTCGTGATTGGCGCACGACCAGAGCGGACTACAGGTAAGTACTTAGGCTTTCCACGCGTCGCGCAGAGGACATGCCGGCACCGGGGTTCGGTGTGATCCACGAGGGGAGTGAAGTATCCGGATCTCTTCGCCAAATCGCGCCGCCCAGAACGTAAGTTAACCGCACAGAGTCACTAAGTCGGGTATATAGAGCCTAGACATGCTTCCAAGCCTACCGTCTCGACCGAAAATAATCGTGAGGCCTTGAGGGTAGATCAGACGCAGAATCAGTTGGCACTACATGGCTTAGAAGCGGCTCTGAAAAGCTTGAGAACAACAAGGAGCGGTTTGAGCGAGCTTCAGAGACCTGAGAGAAAGACACGGTCTCTTCCGTCAAGAACTACAGGCTATGTAATTCACGGTATGGGAACAAGGCGGTGATCGAAGTAAGCGCCCATCCGGGCTTGCAGGTGGTGAGAGCCGTTGACACGATGCCAGCAAACTAAGTACGGGCCGGATCCGGATGACCGAGCACTAGCACTGGACGCCACGATGGAACGCCGACGCGGTCAAGACACGGTTCACGGAAAGGCACTTGGCCGCAGCCCAACCACAGCCTGGCGGTGACGGTCGCAGGCGAAGCCAGGGGCCACAGAAGTGCTCCACAGGTGAGATCTTGAGAAGACGCGTCGGAATGGCCACAGACGGCCGAGTCGGATGGTGACGAGTGGGGTTACCAGGGAGACGGGCGTGCAGTGCGACAAGGCAGACCGGAAACGGCAAGTGGATAATCAGAGCCGTTTGTGGCTCAATTCGAACCACCAGCGACCCGATCCGCGCCCACGGCCAAGACGATAAATGGAAATTCGAAAACACTCGTCCTCTAGACTCCTTACACCCACTACCACCACCTCACCCTCCCAGCACGACACGACCATGACTGGATACTCGTCCATATTCTCCTCTGGCCTCCTCGCCACTCCGCGCCCCAGCGGCCCCGTCGACCCCTACGCCGCTCCATCCCGGCCCGACAGCCCTACACACATGGACACCGACCTTGACGTGACCCCTACGAAGCCCAACACCCCGCTGTTCCCTTACGCAGACGAGGCCAGCGACTACTTCGCCTCGCGCAGCCGCACTTCGAGCAACGCCAGCACGGCCTCATCCGTGCTCGGCAACGCGCCGCGCCTCCGCCGCCGCCGGAGCAGCCTCAGCGTCGCGACGAGTGGGCTCGGTGCGGTCAAGAGCCCCCAGCGCAGCGCGGGTGCGGCACTTCAGCGCACGTCACTCATGGGCCCCATCGGCCGCACTCGCAGCGGCAGCATCGACGTTGGCGCTCGAACGGACGGCATGTCCGTCCCGGGTACACGCGCGCGTAGCGGAAGCACAGGTGGTGCATTGCGGTGCGTACTGCGCTCCTGTCCTTACGTGTTCGCGCGCCATGCTGATCATGTCCCGGTGCGCAGCCCCCGCCGCGCGCTCCGCAAGCCCCCACCGGTCCCGCCGCCGACTGCGCCTCTGCCGCCGGTCCCCACTGAAGCAGTGCCGACGCGCCGCCCGCTCGTGCACCGTGCACACACTGCGGATAATTACGCGTCCTTTGGCGTTGCTCTCGGAGATGTTGGCGCAGGTGGAGCGCACCTGACGCCCGGCTTTGCCGACAAGATTGCCGCCGCGATGAGCACTCCCCCCGAGGCTGCGGCGTTCTGGGGCGCAGGCGCGCGGACGAACGAGAACTGACCACGACGACTGCTGCACGACAGCGACGCTTGCTTATGTCCCTTCTGGTTGTACAGCGGACTATTAGGGGTGTCCTGAACTATCTCTCCACTTATTCGTATCTTCTCTCCCTAATCACTTGCACACACTCTATCTTATTTTGGATACGGGCCCGACAGGCTTCGTGGTCGCTTAATACCCCCTCCAGTTTTATACTTATACTCATTGACTGAGCGTCTTCTACTTACTTACCCCAGCACACACTTACCGGTAATAGGACTTTCTTGCATGTGCAGACCTGTCTGTAACTGTCCATTTTCGTACTCAGTCAACTGCATGCCAATCACCAAGTGATCAGAACGTGGCGACGTCAGCGTTATTGAACCCGCATCTTCCTTTGTCACGGGTCCGAGTTGGGTATTTACATAGAGCGCAGCGATGGTGGTGAGACAACGATGAGTATCTCTAACAGACTGGTGCTAGGAGATATAATTAAAAAATGCAACATCTTGTCCCTGGCCGGAGTCGAGCCGGCGGCTTCACGGAGCTGGAGGCCGGAGGAGACCATGCCTCTACCACAACGTGATGATTTAACCACTAATCGACAGGGACTTGAGATAAGGTTCCATAAATGAATACTATGAGGCCATTGCTGCAAGAGAGCACTCGAGCACGGTCGACTGCAGTACCGAATCAGCTGAGAGGATCTTCGAGTTTGTGATCTTCGCCTGTTGCCATGACGGCCTGACTCCTTCAACCAGATATTCACCCTCCCGTGGTGTGTCGTGCCACCTATCCACTAGTACCTGCGACACGTTCCGAGGCTAGAACACCCATGGGCTTTGCTTCGCAGAACCCTATTCGCTCAGATGTCACACATGCACATGCCTTGTGGCGGCGGCCAGAAGCTTGCATCACAATGTATCAACAACGTGGCTGTAGATCGCTCCCGCGCGGGCGGTTCAGAAGAGCTCGGCTCCGCTTCCTCAGCTATGGTCAGTACATAGCCTTGTGCTTACTATTTTATAGCCTTGAGGCTTGCTCTAGCTCTCAGAAGGTCCTACTGTTCGGGATTCTCGAAAACTGGATTCTTGGATACCGGCGGAACGAGCTATGTCCCATCTTCGTCCTTTGTCTCAGGGTACATGCCTGGGTAAAGTCCTCTTCGACCCCTATGTCACCCATCGTATGCTTGATAATTAATGGCTTCGTACTCTGTGTCACCCCATCAGTCTCCCCAACTTGCATCGTCCTTGGAGCCCTCAGGTGCGAACTAGTGTTAGCTCCATCAAGCTCGGCAACCCGAATCTCTTCTCACATCTCATGCAAGCTTGGGGCAGTCCATTCAATATTCACCCTGAAGGCTTGATACCCTGCGGGCAACTTAGAATTGGCACGTTCACAAGTACGCGATCTACCCTCTCCCATGCCGCGTGCACCGTGTTCGCTGCGTGTTCGTGCTTATGGCCAAGATGACATACGGATGGCTATCATCTCGTCGATCTCCGATGGATAGCACTAAGCGTGATATCCGAGATACTTTGCAACGTGTGGGGTGCTTGTCCTGGATGCGCGAGCTTGAGGTCCCTAAATCAATTGTCAGCAGGATGCCGGCCAGCAGTGTCCTCTAGGCTGTCAGGAAGTTCGCCGCGTACGGGAATGTTACGTCGTCAAACCGCGCTGCACCCGCTGTCTTCCAGCACTTCAAGCTTCAAGCTTCACAACGTAAGAAGGACGTCGCTGGGGGCGCATCGTGTTCATTCGACGTTTCCGGAGGGTTTCACCTACAGCGTGGTGCTAGTGACCGTCCGTGCATGCTGTCATGACCGTGAGAACTTTCAGTGGCTGGGATGTCGACCAAAACGCGTTCAGCTTCCTTTCACCTCTGTCTCACCCACCACCTCTCACCTCCCCGCCTGCTCTTACTCCCTCGTAAGTTCCCTAGTGGTTGGAAGTGTACCATACTGACAAGTTTGCCTTCTTTCTGGGTAGGTCGTATCAAAACGCAAGATGCGTGAAGTCATCTCGGTGCATGTCGGTCAAGCTGGAGTGCAGATCGGAAACGCTTGCTGTAAGCCTTGTGGAAAGCTTTTTCCATGCTATCGACTGATCAGAGCGGATTCTAGGGGAGTTGTACACCGCTGAGCACGGGCTGGGCGTGAGTCGAAGATGCCTCGTGTATGCCGCTGGCACGCTACTGACGTGCCGCATTAGCCGGATGGCCGTCTGCAGGGTGATGACGCCGTGCGCGGAAATGGCGCCGACGGCTTCAGCACCTTCTTCTCCGAGACATCCTCGGGGAAATACGTCCCGCGTTCGCTCTACATCGACCTCGAGCCCAATGTGATTGATGAGGTACGGACTGGCAAGTACCGCGAGCTCTTCCATCCAGAGACCATGATCACTGGAAAGGAAGATGCTGCGAGCAACTGTGAGCGTGCAACTATTCTTCTCTGCCACAGATGAACTGAGTAGCATTTAGATGCGCGTGGGCACTACACGGTCGGCAAAGAGAAGATCGACGTCATTTTGGACAAGGTGCGCCGGCTCGCAGACAACTGCACCGGCCTCCAAGGCTTCTTCGTATTCCATTCTTTCGGCGGTGGCACTGGCTCGGGCCTTGGGGCGCTTATTTTGGAGCATCTCTCGACCGACTACGGCAAGAAGTCGAAACTTGAGCTCTGCGTCTATCCGGCACCACAGCTCGCGAACTCAGTCGTCGAGCCCTACAACTCCGTTCTAACGACGCATACGACGCTCGAACACGCTGACTGCTCATTTATGGTGGGTGTCGGTGAGAGTCTGTCGCCGTGTTTCTGAATATATCCTTTTAGGTTGATAATGAAGCGATCTTCGGAATCTGCAAGAAGCAACTTGGCGTGTCTCAGCCGAGCTTCACGAATCTCAATCGCTTGATTGCCCAAGTCGTGTCTTCTGTGACCGTGTCCCTTCGCTTTGCAGGGTCGCTCAACGTCGACCTGAATGAATTCCAGACGAATCTCGTTCCGTAAGCGATCGTCGTCCTTAGCATCTTTTCTCCCTCTGATGTCATCGTGCTTCTCGCTCGCAGCTTCCCGCGTATTCACTTCCCACTCGCCACGTTGTCTCCCATCGTGCCTGCTGACCGGGTCCAGCATGAGATGAACGACATTTCTTCAATCACGAATGCCTGCTTCACTAAGGGCAGCCAGATGATCAACTGCGACCCTATGGAGGGCAAATACAGTATGTGATCATGCATGATCTCGGCATGGAACATTCCTCACACGTCCCAGTGGCATGTGCTCTGCTCTACCGCGGCGACGTTGTCTCGAAGGACGTCAATGCGGCTGTCGCCCACCTCAAGACACGTCGCACTATTCGCTTTGTCGATTGGTGCCCGACTGGCTTCAAGATAGGCATCTGCAACGAGCCGCCGGCCCACATTCCTGAGGGCGACCTCGCACGCGGATCGCGCAGCGTCTGCGTGCTTTCCAACACGACCTCTATCGCCGAGGCGTGGACACGCCTTGACCGCAAGTTCGACCTGCTCTACTCGAAGCGAGCGTTCGTGCACTGGTATGTCGGCGAGGGCATGGAGGAGGGTGAGTTTTCTGAGGCACGCGAGGACCTCGCTGCTCTGGAGAAGGATTACGAGGAGGTTGGGCTTGATTCGGTGGACGTTGAAGAGGAAGGCGAGTACTAGGCGTGTGCCTCGGGTTCTCTTGCACCTAGCGTCTAGTTCTTGTTCATGATTTTGTTCACGCTATCACGATTCATCAAAACACGCATTGCATGTCTCTGTCTGGTGTGAGGGACGTCAGTTGTGTACTGGCAGCGACGCCTTCGGCGCGCATGCCTGTCGGTGTGTTTGTACACGTGTACTGTGCAACCTCTGCGTGCTGGATACACTTCGAATGCTCGTATTTCAATAGAGTTTTCGTTGGCCTTCCACGGCCCGCTCACCGGGCCGAGTGTGGCGGCGCAGGAGGGCGCAGGGCGGCGCTGGAGCCTGCCTTGCGCCTTGCTTGCGCCACGACTCGTTCGAAGTTTGATATCAATTCAACGTTCTCTGCAAGCACCAGCCATCTTGTTCCGCCTTACCGCTACTGTACTGGAGAGTCAATTCTATCCCCTGTCCTGCTACGAATTCGTCATCAACGTTTTGGGTCATGCCAACCGCTTTGCCGGGTGCGAGCCTTCTGCTCTCCTTGCCAGAGGAGCTGCTCGTTTGTATCTTTCTCCTCGCTGATCATCGAACCATGGTCACTTGCCGTCAGGTGCGCTGTCGATTCATCCATCATGATTTCCCACAAATCTAAGTAAACTGCAAAAATGTGGATGACCAGGTGTGCCTCAGGCTCAAAATAATGATTGATTGCAGCGCTGCGCTACAGTACGAGATTGAACTCGCAGCGGCGGGGATGCAGGACTGGAAAACTAGAGTCGATGTCTCTAATCAACGGCTACGTCTCGCAAAGTATGTTGAAGCGTGGCGCAAAATGACCTGGTCGGCGTGTCAAACTCTGCCTGTTGATGAAGATCTGTCATTGAGGATGATCAGCATCTCTGGAAATGTCGCCGCGTTTCAGAACTTGCTTTCCACCGGAGACATTACGCTGCGATTCAAGCGTTTTCCTTCAGAGATACGTGGCGTTGAACTGGCCGAATGGAATATCATATTTCCTTCTTCGTTTATACCCAATTGTCTCGACATCGACGAAGCTCAAGATCTGTGCATCTTTGGGATGTAAGAGCCCCCATATTTACCTTGCGTTCTAGAATCAATCAAATACCGTTGCAGGTCAACGACTGTGTATACAGGCGACTATCGTCAGTTTCGCATTCTCTCGCTCACAAATCCCGGCCTCAAGCATCCGTTGAACCACGGTTCGGGAGTAGTCACGCTGCACCTCTGGAGGCATGGTTCAGTCCGGGGGAACTCTCTGAATATTTGCAACGACAACTTCATCTTGATAACGTACTATGGGTCCGATGAGAGTAACGGGATTATTGTTACCAATTGGAAGAGCGGGGACTGTATTGCGTCCTTCGTCAGTGACATGCCTTTTCAGCCATCCGCAGGTTCAATTGCTTTCTCACCTCGTATGCTTCTGCAGAATCTATGTGACGACCCCCGCGACTTTCACGACTTCGACAACTTCGAGATCCTTGACGACCGATACATCCTCTTCCAGCGATACAACGAAGGGATTGGAAATCCAGATCATGAAGCGCAACCTCTTAGCCCGGGTATGCAAGCTGTCGACCACTACATCTACGATTTATGTACGTGCGGACGAGGCGATGCCGCAATTCGCGATGGTATCCGACGCATTCGCATCGAATTCCCAATGGTTCCCGGACAAAGCAAACAGATTGGCAACTCCAGACTTTACACTCAACGCAACGCTGTGAAATCAAGCCAGCCATCATACGCATCCTCGCTGCATCTACAAGGGAGTTTCCACGGTAATGGTGGCGAAAGGCTTGTATCGTCTTTGGTTGCAACGCGAATTGAGACCCCACTGGGGTATCAATCCCTCGAGATTCATATGCACATTCCAGCACGCGCACTCGTAACCCTTGCTGCCACGCATCCGCCATGGACTGTTTTAGTTCCCCCGGAAAAT